TCCACAACGTTTAAACCTTCAATTCAATATCATGAATTATAGGTTAGACACAATAAAAAGCTATTTAGGATCCTATGTTGGATTGATGGTACAACTATTTAAACGTATAAACGTTTCATTTCTATACCCTTACTTTTTTGAGTAATTTCAGCTGTAAACTGTTGTGGACATTACACATGCGTTGTGGACATTACATACCTTATTCTACTTAAATACAGCAATATGTAGAAATTATGATATTTTTGACTCATATTTCAAGTATGTATAAAATAAAGTCAATTAACCATCTACAGGAAGAGTCTAGTTTGGGATGTTTAACTCAGAAACGAAATATTGCGAGAAACGTATCTCTTTCCCCATCGCCTCTTAGCAATCTTGCCCTGATTACCCATGATTCATCGTCAAGCGTGARCTCGTTTATTGTTCCTCATTGCATTTCAAGATTATTCCAAATATCCTCTCGATGTCTTAATGCATTAATTAAGAAAAGAACACGAACAAGATTGTGTTTGCTTGTTTGTTTGTCACAGGGTGTGCCCGTRCCCCAACCCCCCCAATTTGGTATCCACAATGGTTACGCCCCTGATCAMCGGAAGAAAAAATCACGCGCTTYAAAGGTTGTAAATTTGATGTAAATGTGATGTAAGTGTTCAAAATTCTGTAAATTTAATGGAAATCATTTACATCAGATTTACAGAATTTTGGACACTTACATCATATTTACATCAAATTTACAACCTTTAAAGCGCGTGATTTTTCCAGTGGATATGTCTGATATTGAAGATGTGAAGTTATGTAAGTGRGSGAWCAAAATAATTAGACAGTTGTTGAATGCAGACCAWTTTACCTGTTAGTAWAAYKCCMAAASCTTTGAAGAACCGGAATGTAATGTCCACAACGGTTTTTAGGTAATGTCCACAACGCAATGTTTTGAAGATAAAAAATATATTGAAATATCTTCGAAATATTTTTTATTGTAGTAGTAAGCTTTTATCAMCAACAAGTGYAGCCATAATATTGMCTWTTGTTAAACATCTCTCAAAWCACAGSAAAATGCAATAAAAGAGAAGSAATTGAAAATGTGGTAGTTTCATATGTAATGTCCATCCACAACAGAGTTTAAAAGCTTATTTTTCAGTTGACAAAAAGGAAAAAAGAAAACGCTTTATACCAAATTATAGAAGCTCCATTTAAGTATCCAACATATAACTTTTAGCTTCTAAATTGAATTAGCAAAGAATTTAGAGGAAGTTAAAGATTCAGAATTGGCTTCTGAATGTAATGTACACAACGTGGAATCGCCCATATATATTTTAAATAGAATAAATTGAAGAAAAAGGAACACAACTTGCAACTTTTTTTTCTCTACTCTTTAGTGGATGTTTCGGGAATTCACCGAAACATCATATATATTTTAATAATATTTCATTATTTATATTTGAATTTAAAAATTGAAATTTCGGCCTTCAATATAATAGGAATCGAACCCATGACCTCTGGGATGCCGTTGTAGTGCGCTACCAACTGAGCT